CTGCTGGTCGGTGCGAGCTCTGAGCACCGTGCTCAGAGTTCGGCTCATTCAGCCCTCCCGTCAAACCGGCAGACTCCACCACCAGGTTCACCAATTGGTTCAAGTCAACAAACTCATTTTTTTCATCATCTGGCTTATTTCCATACACCACCACAGCCCATGCTTCCTCTTTTTTTTCATCATCCCCTTTTTCCTCGTTCTCTTTTTCCTCCTTCTCCTCCTCCTCCTCTTTTTTCTCATTTTGTTTTTCCTCTTCCTCCTCCTCTTTTTCCTCTATTTCCTCATTTTCTTTTTCCTCTTCCTCCTCTTTCTCCTTCTCTTCTTCCTCAAAGTCAATCGGGCCAAAACAGCCATCAGCACCTCGTTTTCTTTTTCTTTCTCCTCATCTTTCTCTTTTTCCACCCCCTCATCTTTCTCTTTTTCTTTTTCTTCTTCTTCCTGCTTCTTTTGTGTCCATTCGCTCTCCAACAATTCAATTTTTTTTTTTAAGTTGCTCATTCTCCTCACAAACAAAGGCAAGTAAACGGGTCTCGGCCGTTCCCTGTACATGAAAGAAAAAACAAAAATTAAAGGGAACATAAAATAAAGATACATGTTTAATTGAAAATTTTCTAATGTTGAAACATAAATTGTCGACCAAAATTAAAGAAAACCTGGGTCTCCACAAAAGCACGCTCGGCAGACAAAGGCGATACCGAATACACCTGCAAAGCAAATCATAATGATTTAAGAACAATATCGATTAACCAAAAATATAAAAAGAAGAAGAAGGAAAAACATAATACTATAAAACTATATAAATTACCTTATGCCTCATTATTTTCTGAAGGGATTTTAAGCACCCTTTCATTGTAGACGGCAAATTGCTCCCCGTCCATCGAAACAGACGGGGAATCGCCTCGAGCGTGGACCGTTTGCCCAGAGAAGGCACACGCTCGTACAACCAAGCCTACACATCCCCTCTATATATAATTTCAGAATGCGTTGAGTCTACGTGGCAAACTCTCATGCTTCGGAATTCTATTTGGCAAAAAATCATGCTCTGGAGTTAGGCTTGGATATAAATTAATATTTGTATTAATTGTATTTTAATATCATTTCCTATTATAACCAATAAATTGCAAATATATTTTAAAAGTTGATAACTTTTGTATTTCTTATCGGTTTTACATATATAATATATCAAATTAATCATCTTTTGATGAGCTTCGATTTGACATCCATATTGTATATATAAAATAAATAAATTATATTTATTTTTATAATAATAATAAAATTATTTATTAAAATTAATTAGAAAATAAAATTATTTATCAATTTATATATTTATGTTTATGTAGTTATATGTTATAAGATAGAAAATTTATTATAATATAACACATATAATTCGCACAAGTAACATGTGTCATACTAAAATATATAATATATATTCTCTCCTATTTTTATTATATGTCACTTTGGCAAAATCATGCTTTGGAGTTAGGCTTGGATATAAATTAATATTTGTATTAATTTTATTTTAATATCATTTTCTATTATAACCAATGAATTGCAAATATATTTTAAAAGTTGATAACTTTTGTATTTCTTATCGGTTTTACATATATAATATATTTAATTAATCATCTTTTGATGAGTTTCGATATGACATTCATATTGTATATATATAATAAATAAATTAATTAGAAAATAAAGTTATTTATCAATTAATATATTTATGTTTAATGTAGTTATATGTTATAAGGTAGAAAATTCATTATAATATAACACATATAAGTCGCACAAGTAACACGTGTCATACTAAAATAGATAATATATACTCCCTCTATTTTTATTATTTGTCACTTTGGCTTAATTGATCATTGATAAAATAAATGTCGTTATAGATATTTCGTTCATATTTTTCCATTTTTAACCCTCCATTTAATACACAGTGTCTCTTCATATCCCATCTTCATCGTTTCCAATAACATCTATTAAATATGGTTAATATTGTCAAGAAAAAAAATCCTAATTAGTGTGTTGCATTTGAATTGATACTATGAAGTCCGTTTGTATTTTACTATTTTTATATATATATAAAATACAAAACAGTAATATATATCTTTATAAATAAAATTTAAATTTATTTATAAAACTAAATTAAATTATATCAAATAAAACTATAAATTATATTATAAAGTAATAGAAATTGGTATGTATTCTCTTAAAAATGATATTTATTTCAAATCTAATTGGTATGTTCTCAATGTAATAAAAATAAATAATTTATTTATATAAATTTTAAAATTACATATAAAGTTAAAAAATTGTGAAGCACGACTGATACGACACTTGATGTATTAGACATTTAATTAAGTAAAAAAATTAATCTATTTTTGCTTAATATTAAATAAACATATTCTACACTTATGCATATCCATATTACCATAGTATTTCTATTTATTTAAGATATATATTGTACTTATGCAATAGTAAATAATATTGATAATTTTATATGATACAAGTAAAAAAATTCAACACGGGTTGGTATTTTTATTTAATGTACGGGTGTTTAATTATTATGATTAAATAAATATAATTCGACAATTTAATTAAAACCCAAGGTAATGTTTTATATAAAATTAAATTGTTTTATTTATTAAAAAATAAAAAAATTTAATATTTTTTACAAAAGATTTCTAATTCAACACCCGTGTAATACACGGGTATTGTACTAGTAAACATTTTTTCAAAATTACACAATCTCACAACTAAATATTATTGTATTAAGACATTGAAACACACACACACACACACACACACACACACACACACACACACACATATATATATATATATACCATCAACCCAACTGCACATCCATCAAAGTATGATCTCTCTCTCGATTCACTATGGCGAACAAGCTCGGCAACCAAGAATTATGAGTAGCATCACCCCATGCATACTCACAAATTCGACTCACATTCTCTAGGTAAGGGTAAACAAACCTAGGAATGGAATAACTAGAACAAGGAAACAATATAAAACTAAACACAAAAAGAGTGAACATCCTGATGAAGTCGTCTACGCGACCTTCATCCACAGCAAATTTTTCTAAATGTTCTACAACGTGCTTTCTTTTCAAAAGCTTATTATCAACCCGACCCCAACCATCGAATAGGGCTTTGGACTCCAAATTCAGATCTAAGTCTACACTTAGACCACACTGCCGCAGCCCCATTGTCACACAAAACTCTGCCGGATCGAATTTAAAAAAAAAAAAACCATTACCTACAACAAAGGCATTCATTTCTGCCGTGTATGTGCTTATTAGAGCCTCAGTTCTGCCATGTGAAATGGCTATGTCCGGCATGTTAACAAAAAAATAGAAAGGGCTCTGTTGAAGAGCCTGCTTGTGTTGATCAGACAACACAACAAGAGTTCGGTCCATCACATCCTTAAAGTAAGATGGGGCACATCGACTTCTAAAATCAGTGCCCTATCACAAAATATAAAACACAAATAATGCATCTACAGAACAAAATGGAAAACAGCAGCAACATTATAGAATACAGAACAAAGTGGAAAACAGCAGCAACAAAATGGAAAACAACATCACTGGATCAATTTGTTATGAGAAAATTGATAACAAATGAAAAACACCAATAAAATCCCAACAGCAGCAACAAAATTCCAACAGCAACAACATTTAAAACACCAATTCAAACTGAAATTCACAACACCTCAACCCTAATTTCGCAAATAACAACAACAGCAACATTTAATTTCCGAATTTATTAATAAAATCACAAATTCGAAGCCCTAGTTTATCAATAAAATCCCAAATTCGAAACCCTAATTTATGAACCCTAGATGCAAAGAGCCCTAATTTATCAATAAAATCCCAAATTCGAAGCCCTAATTTATGAACCCTACATGCAAAGAACCCTAATTCAAAATAAAAAAAAATATTATGAACCCTAATTCAAAATAAAAATATGAACCCTACATGCAAAGAGCCATAATTTATCACAAAAATCCCAAATTCGAAGTGAATTACCATAAAAAAAATCCCAAATTTTTAAAAACATCCAATTCGAGAAAAAAAAATCAAAATTTTGTAAAAATCCCCAAATTTTCGAGTTTAATAAAATCTCCAAAAATCAACATTGCTTACGGCTTTGGAAGCTTTGGAAGACGAAGATGGTTTGTCCGATACCAAGGGCTTCCCGGAGACAGACGACTTTTTCGATCGCGGCATTTTGGTCGGAGACGGAGGGCTTCCCGGAGATATGGCGACGGGAGGGGGAATCTTCTTCAGCGACGCGCGACGCACCAAGACAGAGAAAGAGAGATGATAGGCGACGCACAAGAGAGTGAGAAATGATCGGCGATTTCACGACGATTTCACAGAGAGAGAGAGACGGGAAGGCGAGAGAGAGAGAGAGAGAGATAATGAAGAGAGAGAGTGAAAAATTGTTCAAATGAATTAATAAGAAAAATAAATCAATAATAATACAAATAGTATTTATATGGGAAGTTGGGAGGAAAAATAAATTAGCATTAGGGAGTGGAGAGGAAGAAATAAAGTGGTGGGGACTGAGGAGGAAATGGAAATGTGCATTAGGGATTTTTGAGGAAATAACCATAAAAATATTGGTGATAAAATTAGAGAAAAATTACCAGATCGATGATTTTATTCCTATTTTTAGTGTTCAATTTTTGACTCCGTTCCAGTTCGTCGGAGCTCATAAATCTGGTGAGACATTTGCCGTTGTATCTTTGGGGAAGTTACGCATGAACCGTTAGCTGCCACACAGAGCGTATTCTTTTTGTGGAAAGGTTTTTACTAGCCTCGACTTTAATCTTTACGTTCTATTTTTAAGTTTCAATTTATTTTTAAGTTTGTAATTTATTTTTCAGTTCAATTGTAATATTCTATTTCAGATCATTTATAAGAAAATACATTAAGATTCNGGGATGATATTCAGAGGAAACTCGGAAATCTGCCTCCGAAGCCGGCGCCGTTCAAGCCGGCCCCTTTCGCGCCCGCTGAAGATGAAGATTCGAAACCGAAAGGCAAGGATTGGCTCGACGAGAAGACCGAGGAAGAGCTGCAAGATCTCGAAGATGATCTCGACGACGATCGATTCCTTGAAGAATACAGGTACTTAATATTGATTCCAAATTCGATTGTTGAAGCATAGGAAATGACTAGGCTTGGATTTTTGCAAGATTGTTTTACAAAGAACTGATATGCATTTGTTGTTAGCCTGCTGATTGGATCAGCATCAGCAGGATCTTTGTTTTACTTGTTTTTGAGATATGGGCTCACCAATGGCAGCTAATTTAATTTGATATGGGTGAAATAAATGGTTTTTTATTTGAGACTGATCTTTCATTACTTCAGTAACAGTCTTAATGACCGATTTCTCAAACTAAAGAACCTGCCTTTTCTCAGTTTCATGACGATAAAGGATGGAAAATAGCTGTAGGTAGTGCCAACTTTTGAAATGAGATCATGATTGCTGATGATGTTTATATCCATTTGATTTTGATAGGAAGAAGAGGCTGGCTGAAATTAGAGAATCAGCCAAGATCGCAAGGTTCGGTTCAGTGATTCCTATTTCAGGATCTGATTTTGTTCGTGAAGTTTCGCAGGCTCCTCAAGATCTCTGGGTAGTCGTGTTACTGTATAAAGATGGGTATATT